CACAGACCGGTAGGAGGGATCATACTGAAATGGGAACTCAGGTTCAGCCCGATCAGATTGAAGCAAAGATTCCTGCTCTTCCCCTTCTGGGCCAAGTTCCACATTCTTGGACTTTGCCTCATTCATTTCAGAAGACCCTTCAGGAATTCTAAAGGGACTTGTGGATGGGAAGCCAACCCCATGACAAGGACCAGGTTTGAATTCAACAGTGACTTCTTCCCAAGTTTGAGGCCTAGATGATGCATTAAGCTCATCCTCAGCAGGATCTCTGTACCTGCAATTGGCCTTGTATACAGGACTGGGATTTAGGTCAAAGCAGGCCTCATCTCTATCCCAGAACCACGACCCAAATATGGCCTCTTCTTCAGACTCAGGCCTGGTCTCTTCTCTGGCCACAGCCCCCAAACTGGACTTTTCCTCAGCCCAGAACAATGATCCACCAATGGCCCCCTCCTCAGCTCCTGGCTCAGATTCACAGATTGCTGAAGCTCCAGCCTCCAAACTGGCCTCTTTTTCTGCCCAGAACCAGGACCCAATAATGACATCTTCCTCAAACCTGGGCTCCTGTTTGGCCCTATCAATGTTTTTAGCATCTTTCTGGGCCCTGGATTTCAAGATGTTATTAGGTTCTTCCTTGTCTCTGCGCCTGAATCTATTATTGGCCTCTTCTCCAGGCAAAAACCAGGACTCTTTATAGAATTCATCTTCAGACTCAGATTCAAAATAATCCTCTCTCTTTGTCCTGAGCTTGGACCTGACATTTGCCTCTTCCCTAACTCTAGGCCGGAACAAGTTATTGGTATTTTCTCCAGCCCAAAAGCAGAATGGGTTACCAGACTCATCCTCAGACCCAGACCAGGAATCAATATAGGGTTCTTGCTTGGATGTAGACTTGGACCTGGGGTTAGTCTGATGTTTAGCTCTGTGCCTGGACCTGGTATTGGCCTCTTCTCTGGGCCATGATCTGATACTGGCTTCTTCTCCAGCCCAGAAAGAAGACACGGTAGAGGTCTCATCTGCTGACCAAAATCCAGACTCATTAGAGGCTTCTTCTCTAGCTCTGGGCCTGGGGTAGCACCAAGACCCCATACTAGTCTCCTCCCCTGGTCCAAACCAGGGCTGGATTCCTGCCTGGCCCTGGTTGCCAGGAAAGGTTTCAGCATCCAAACTGACCAGTTCTCTATCTACAGGCAGGCCCTTAGATTTAGTAACTGATCCAGAATCAGTATTGACCAATGGCCAGGTGACAGCATTAGTCTGGGATGCTCCCTCTGCCTGTGACATTGCCTCAGTACCAAACTCAGTCTGGGCCCATGCCTGGGCATCATCCTTAGGCCTTGCCCCAGAGACTGTTTTGGCCTCACTTTTAGGACGGGCACCACCTACTGCCCTGGCATCAGTTTTGGGCCTTGCCCCAGCCATTGCCTGAGTCTCAGTCTTGGGCCTAGCCCCAGCCATTGTCTGTGCCTCAGTTTTGGGTCTTGCCCCAGCCACTTTCTGGGCCTCAGTTTTGGGCCTTGCCCCAGATGCAGACTTGGTTTCAGTTTTAGGCCTTGCTCCAGTTGTTACCTGGGCCTGGGCCCTAACCTTGGGTCTGACCACCAGAGGGACTTCATTCTCTCGCTCAGCCCCACTAACAACTTCTTCCCCAGCCTTCTTTTCAGACTTGGCCTGGGCACCAGTCTCAATCTCTGCCCCAGTCATGGTAAAAGTTAGA